TTTGATAAGTATTGTAACAGTATCAAACTATTAGAAGCCAGGTTTTAATAGACATTGGCGCAACTAGACCTCTAACATTAGACACACAGCCTACACCCCTACAATCCTTTTTTCACAACTGTCATTGCTATTCACTCAAAGATTTTAAATATTTTATATAATATGTATTAACAATTTATCTATAAATATTACTATAATAAAATATAAAGTATTCAGTAGATACTATAAAAAAATGATTGTGTTTATGGCGGGTGCTTAAGACCCTATAGCTCCCTTTATTGCTTCTATTCATACACTATACAGACATAATTGAATTAACATTTTAAATTAAAGTACCATTTTAATTTTTAAATTATATTAATTATGATATTTTTTAGTAATATTTACTACCTTGTAGGTTGCAATCATGATAACGTACTATCTGCTTTTCCTTGTCAGATAGTTCTAAATGAAGCACCTGACCTGATTTTGGTGCTAATGCAACTTCTTTTGCCGGTGCAACAAATGCTACTAAATCATCAGCTACTGATACTGGTAGTGGTGCTAATGGTGCAATTATTGGCGGTTCATTATCAACATACAGAGCCCAATTTCGTTGCTGTTGTTCAAATATTGCTGTAGTATGCGACATTCATTGAAAAAACTGCCACGTTGATATCAGCACAAGAGTATATTGTTAGCAAGCATATGTTATATAGAATTTAAATTTCTATAATTTATTCCGTGGTAACTTGTTGGCTGTAAATTATTATGTAGTTGAGCCATAATAGTGTGGAAACTCATACTCAGGTGAGATAGGTGATGTGTAATATTATAATCCAATATGGTTGGTAAAAGTTGGAGTTGTGAATAAGTTTAAAAAAAAAAATATGATTACCTAAAAATATCCATGAGTTAGGGTGAGTTACATTTGTTCGGTAAAACATTATGAAAACTTTTTGAGACTATTGTTAGTTAGTCTTGGTAATCCATTGACCGAAGTTATGTTTGATCCGATTTGTCTGAGAAAAAGGCTAAAAAAAAGTATTTAATTGATATATAACAATAATAATAAATAGAAGTGAAGAATTTAGTTTAGAATTTTTACAAGTTAGAACATATTATTCTTACTTTTCATTGTAATCAAATAAATTTGGCATCAGTATTCCATGATTCACCGAAAACACTCTTGCCATATAGATTACTCGTTGGATATCAACAGATGGTGACGATGGTAATATTTTGCGTTTTATGGCCATTATGATCTTTAATAACAATAAATTTGCCATTCTCCAACTTTTTTAATGATCCTGTACAAAAATATCCACCACGTCTTGCACATTTGTAATATCTATAACAATAAAAATAAACAATAAGTAAGTACTAATTACTGATTAGTTATCTAAGTAATAATGGATATTTACCTATACATAAAAATATTAACCAGAGTACAAAATGCTGTACTAGGTAGGTGGTACTAAGCTAGGTACTTACACATAATTTGAAACACTGAACACAATATTATTAAACTATATTAATTTCTACTTCCCGAATACAAGCCCGTTTTGATATTGAAATTGAAAATAGGTATAGGTAGTACATTTAAAAAATAACCTGTTATTAGTGTAAGCAACTTATTTCTAGAGTTAATAATGTTGAATATTCACAGAACATGATTCTTAAGACTTCTAATATAACTTATTAAATTAAAATATAATTTGTAACTATAAATTAGCAATAAGTAGTATATAGTTACACATCTATAAAAGTGTATAAGGGAATATTATATGGTATACTATACGCAAAGGGCAAACGATTAATGATATCTATTATAATTTTCTAACTTCAAAATCAATTTAAAGGTCTTAAATATACTCACGTTATTACTTTTTTGGTACACTCCGTCTTACAAATGTACAACATAACAAAAAACTGCTTCGCGAGGATTAGAACCACTCCCTCGGTATTTATAATAGAATCACCAAAATTCCACAACGCATAGGCAACTAACTACTTTATCTGTGTCGTATCGTTTTTATTATTTGAATAACATAATTAAACATATTAAATTTAATTTAATTTAAATATCGGTTTGACGACATTGGTTTTTATTTTCATTTAATCAACCAGACGAATTAAATGAAAACTTTTTATCACTATCATGAATGGAAAATATCTTATCAGTTTGGCTTGCAATAAACAACAAATTTCATTATCACTGGCCGCCAAATTTAAAAATATTTTAATTTTTAATATCATACTATTAGATACAAATACAATTTCACAACTTACCACTGAGTATAAATGTATAATAACACCAATTTATAATCATATTGTGTACCTACTACCTACTTAGGCAGTGGTATTATCATTAAGCAATAACATTAAATAATATATACTTATGTATTATTTATGTGTTTATGTAGTTGAACGTAATTATAATATAAGACTGTTAATGAATTATTCATAATTATTCTCCTAGACTCTACAGTCTACATGTCAACTTATTTAACATAAATAAACGATCTTACGATTCATTATTTATAATAACATCAATTTATAATCATATTGTGTACCTACTTAGTATATTTACCATTGGTATCCATTTATACCATTGGTATATCGTATATGTACCTAATAGCTTTATGTTAAACTGAAATGTACAGCAGAGTATCTATAAGAATAGATGCTCTTTTTCTAACTGTTATTTCAACAGCCTACATTATGTTGGCTTCTGGAAAAGCTTTTTCCAAAATCAATGTATGTTAAAATACATAGGAATCATTTTGTATGCAAAAAATAAAAATTATAATATATTTAAAATTTTTAAACTAATATTGTGTTTAAAAAACGTAAAATTAATATTATAAAATCCTTCTCACATTATTATTATAATGTTAAAATGAGAACATAATTAATAATTATATTTAAATGAATTTCTTCACACGAATCAGACATTCAGATTCTGTATTGAAAAATAACAAATATATATTGTATATTATGTATTTCGTACCTACAGACTATGTTCTTCATAATGAAACTAAATAGGTAATAATTCATAGTACCATAGTGGCACAGTTGCATTACACTGTACGTCGATGTATAATATTTTGAAAGTAAATATTACTTACTTGCAAGTTCCAGTCTTTATTTTTTTGCCCTAGACATGGTTTGTTTTTAATTTAATGATTTCATTTTTTAAACGAAAATTGAAGAATATAACATTACATTATTATATGAGATTACTAATTTATAATTAATTATAATTTTAATATTTAGTAATCATTTTACGTAATGATTAATAAGGCAGAAAATTTGAAAAACGTAAAAACATGTCCTATTTAACTACTTATTATTTCTATTTTCTATTGCTGAAATTACTTGGTGTAAATCACTTGACCTACTTACCTACTCGAAAGTTATAGTGGGTGGAATTAGAGTTAAGTCCAATTAACAAGTTCTACACAACACAATGAAAAGTTGTCATGATTTATTGTAATATTTAAAGAACACATTCACATCCATATTAGAATTTGAAAAATTGTATTTATTTTTCAATGAAAACGGTACATACTCACTATTCACCAGTGTCGGCCTGGCACACCAAAGGCCCATGGATCAGTTTTTTAAGGGGGCCCTAAAAAATGTATACCTATGCGATTTTTTGCAATATGGATTATATTATAAAATTTACCTTTTTTGTAATCATTAATATACTATTATATAATTAAGTAAATATAAGTTTCATGATCAATAATTATAAATTAATTGTGCATAATCACCACAATAAATAAATAAATAACCAAATATACAACAGTATAACACCAAAGATACTATACCTAATTACGCGAACTATACCTAATTAGTTTGCTGTGGCAACAACAACAATCGACATAACGCGACTACAACAGCATTGCAGACTGCTGTCGTATTGACAAAATATCTGAAATCATAGCTGAATATTATGCAGTCAAAAATATTTTAATAAATAACTATTGCTTATGGGCTGCGGCAAGGCATTATTTATAATTTATAAATAATAACATTAAATTACAATACATGTATTATGTATATCTAATATTAACGCAAATCCTTTAGGTAGCTAATGATTCGTTTAATAATAAACTATGAAACATATTATGAAAACTACAAAACAATAAATAATAATAATTATCAATAATATTACAGTTTACATAGAAACAAAATTACGAAAACTAAAATTATATTTTTACTAAAGAATTTAAACTTTGAAGACATTTGTCTAATATACATAGCTATAAGCATAATATTATTGAAGTAAACTTCCAAAAGTATAGTCAGTACTGCAATATAATGGTACATGGCAATATCGTATGCGGACAGGTCGGTGTCCCGGCGGCTATTAGTTATTATATGTCAATATATTCAATGTAGTGAATAGTGATAATATTAAAAATAGTTCGATTAGACATTAGTTTGTAGCACGGTCTTAGATTATAGTTATTTACAATGTAACTTTTAATTGTAGCTTGTAACTTTCATATAAAGTTACAGGAAAGTGTGTAACTAGTTACAAGTTACAAGTTAAATTAAAAATGTGTAACTTGTTACAAGTTACAAGTTACAAAAGTTACATGTAACTATGATATGCCCAACCCTGCATATAAGTTGTTGTTTGTGAAAAAAGTTGAGCGTAAATCCTTAATAATTTTTTATGAGCATTTGAAGTTAACGTTTTCAATAAAATTAGGAATCATAATCAAATGATGAATCAAAAGATAAAATGTTTCATTCCGCACATAATAATTCAGTATATAATAAATTATAAATGTATAATTACATAATTATTAAAGCTTTTTTAGGGTTTTTATAACTAGAACAATTTTTTTTTATTTTAATATTTTATAGAGTTACCTAATAAGTAATAATTTAATTTTGAGTGAATGGTGAGCATATAATAATCTTTGTCATAACTCATCATCATCCAATATCAAGTGTTTACTGTCTTTGTTGTTCATATCTTCCAAATACGCAGGCTTAGGTTATATCAGTTCATCAGTCGGTTCGATCTTTGGTCCTGCTACACCTTCAGTAGCTGATGCATTGTGGTTGTTGATGCGGCTGTTATCAGTCTCATGATCACTGTCATCCAACGGCGCATCTTTGGTTATGGTGGCAGGAATGTTAGGAACACCAACGTCCTTCAGGGCTCTGGCCTGAAGGAGCGGTACATCACAAGAGTTGCTTACATCAATATGACTGTCAGGATCGTCCCTTGTCAACGACCTATGCTGGATGCGCCATGGTGTTCTAGTATATGAGGCCCTATCATCACAAGACCTGATTTGTGGACTTTCTGGCTTCCTCCTTATCGTTAAACCTTGTGCTACTGTAGATGGACCACGTGTGACAGACTGTTGGATTGATTTTCCGGCCTGAAGGAGAGGTACATCACAAGAGTTGCTTACATCAATATGACTGTCAGGATCGTCACTTATCAACGACCTACGCTGGATGCGCCATGGTGTTCTAGTATATGAGGTCCTATCATCACAAGACCTGATTTGTGGACTTTCTGGCTTCCTCCTTATCGTTAAACCTTGTGCTACTGTAGATGGACCCCGTGTGACAGACTGTTGGATTGATTTTCCGGCCTGAAGGAGCGGTACATCACAAGAGTTGCTTACATAAATATAACTGTCAGGATCGTCACTTGTCAACGGCCTACGCTGGATGCGCCGTCGTTTTATAGTAGTTGAGGCCCCATCATCAAAAGACCTGATTTGTGGACTTTCTGGCTTCCTCTCTATCGTTAAACCTTGTGCTACTGTAGATGGACCACGTGTGACAGACTGTTGGATTGATTTTCTGACCTGTGTAGCAACAGGTGCCTTAGCCGGTGCTGAAGAGGCTGTGCTGTCTTCGTTGCCACTACCTTCACACAGACCCTTGATCTGCAGAGATTCTGCAGCTTTCAGGAAACTTCTCAACTGGTTTTTGGAAATTTTAGTTTCCCCCCTGTACATGTAATCCATCAAACTTTTTAATTCTTGGAACTTAAAATCCTTCAGTATGACAATCGGATGCTTTTCATTATGTTGGCTCAATAAAAGCTGGAAAAAAATATTATTATATGAAAAATACTAGAGATTAAAATTAATAAAACTGGAGATATTACAATGATAATTGTAAAAAAGTTATTTGATAACTGATTCCTAGAACTAGAACTGAAGAACCCAAACATTGCAGAAGATTTTATAATCGTAAGGCGTACGAATAAAAAAACCGTGGTGAAGTTTATTCAATAAAAATAATAAAATACTTATGAAAGTAATCAATCAATTGATAAAATATCATAGTTGTTTATCAGATAATACTTAATTACTGTTTATTGAAAATAAATTCTGAAATCTTGGAAAGCCCTTGATTGCTAATTGTTTAACAAATAGGCAGGTAAGTAAAAAATGTAATATAGAAATTAGAAGTCCACTATAAGTGTACTCCTACTTTACTTTACTTTAAATTAAATAAACAATTCCAGAAGAATGTATCGCAGTGAGTAAATCAGTGTAGAAACTAAAAATTGATTTCAATATGAAATTAGTAATTACTATATTGTAACGTGCCCTACAGCGTTACTTGTTGATTTGGAAGCAATAATTGAACAATAACCTCTTTTGATTGTAATTATTGTATTTATTATATAAACAGTTTTATGGAATTTATCCTAAGTCCAAATAATAAACTAAAAGCGAGTTGTGACTATGAAGTTTAGTGTGACTGTTGAAATTGAGGTTGGTTGCTCGTCTGACGGACGCCCGTCCATCAGCTCTCCACGATGGATCTCTGTTCCTTGCCACTTCCATACTTTTTAAGACCATATATGGTCTTGCGGTTAAGCCTTTTGTGACCTTTTGTGAATTTCACACGCTTGCACGCGCCGGAAGTCTACATATATCTATATTGTACATTTGTGGTGTTATTTAACATAATTATTTTCATATATTCATAATCAAGTAATTATTCATATACGTAGTCCTATATCTATTGTCGCATGCAGTTCATGGTCACGCGCTCGATATAAAAATTATTAATATTATATTATTACTATTTGAAGAAGCGCTCGAGTTTAATATTTATATATACGCGGATCGAATATTATATGATTACGTATGCATTGAATGTGTTTAACCCATATGGCTAAATAGTCACAGCTCGCTACAATATGCTATGTTAAACAGTTAAACTCGTACAATTTCTCTGGTACGACATAATACACTAGCGAATTTAAAAATAAGATAAGGGATTTTTACTATTGGAAAACATATGCAACTCAAAATTGAGTTACTACACTAATGTACTCACAGTGAGAATTACGATAATAATTTATAATAATAGGTATGTAACAATTGATTATAAACAGATATATTTACTTCTAGGTATGGACTGCATGCCGACAATACGACTTTGTGGGCCTTTAGGTATTGACCCTCAGCCGCCAAGGTGCAATCGGACAACGCGCCACTATCCAGCAACGTGTCGAATAAGCTGATCAAAGTGCTTTGGTGGTTGCTCCAGCGCACTTGAAAAAGTGGGTTGTCATCCTCCATGCTTACCACAGTACTATGAAAAGAAAAACAAATTATTAAAAAATATTCGGAATGAAAATAAAAACGTGCAAAAAAAAATGAAAACATGCGTTCACCATAGATATTAAAGAATGGATAGGCCATTTGTGTTTATCATACGGGAATGAACATGAAAAAATTTTGAGGTTATAGAGGTATTAACACAAATAAATATATATCACGATTAAAGATATACAGGTTGCACATCGACTACTGATAAGGTGAAATACGAAATGACTACCAATAATTAACCAGTGGCGCTCCAAGCGGCAGTATTACAACTAACCAATTATAGATATATAGGTGTAAAATTAGTTCTAAATGTCGACACATAGGGTTGAGTGTTGACATTAAGCGCCACTAGTTAATTATTAACAGCTGATTTTTATAGTCACTTTGTAAATCAGTCTGGAAGCGGTTTACTATAGGGCGATGTGCAACCTGTATATCTTTAATCGTGATATATATATAACTATTGTATATTATTTATGATAAGACCTCTGCCAGAATTAGATACAATCATAAAAAGGTGGGTAAGTGGATGTCGCTCTGCTGTACTGTAGGTTACAAGTGGGTCATTGTATAATGGATGGTATTAAATTTGAATTCAATGATATAATATCATTGTATAAGAAAAACGATTCTGAGTGGAGACGGTATGTCCTTCTAGGTATAAGACATATTATATACATAGCTATGGTATTAAAAAAAATTCACCTATAATGAATTCCAAATTAATCATATCACAATATCCATTAGGTACTTATAACGCGTTATACACCAACAACAAACCCTGATACTATCATAGATATATATAGTAGATTACTTTAGAAATTTCAAGTACCCACGAATAATATTATACAATCACAACAAAATAACTAAAATCGTAATTCTTGGTTTAAATATGAAATTTTGTCTAAATTTGAAATTAAAATGTCTGTAAAAAATAAGTGTGTTTATATATTTTTTAGATTTTTTGGTTACAGTATGAATTATTTAAGAGAATCTTTGTTTTAAATTTTCAACTCTTAGTTATAAAAACTGAACATTTTATAATTTTTTAATACCAACGATTGATAATTTTTGAGATTTTGATAAATTTTGTCAAAATTCCAACTTTAAATGCTTTTAAAAAAAAATCGTGCCTATGTATTTTTAATATTTTTCAACTGATATTGTAACAATATATCAGGAGCCTTTTATTAAATTTTTACACTTTTTGGCCCAACAGATAAAACTTTATTGATATTTATAGAAAAAAAACTAAAAAAAATTGAAAGGTGTAAATGTCCATAAACAGCTCAAAAAGAGTCAAAATATTTTCAAAGTTGTATGGTGTATAGAAAATGCTAATTTAAACATTCAGTGAAATTCTCATGTATCTACAAATGTTCGTTTTTGAATTGCAACAAAATAAGGAAATCGCTACATGAGTAATCGAGTGAAAATCCAATGTTGTAAAAATTTGAATTTCAAACGCTCATAAAAATTTAATTTGACTGTCCGGTAGAGATTTTTTTATTGATAAAGGTAGATAATCTTATAAGGAATCTTGTGTTTCATTTTCAAATCTTAGATTTAAAAAGAAAAATTTTTACGAATTCTTAACTCAAAAGAATTTGCTAATTTTTGTGATTTTTCCATATTTTGTCAATTTTTGAACTTTAAATGCTTATAAAAAAAAATTGTGACTAAGGATTTTTAATATTTTTCATCTGCCTTTGAAACAATATATTAGGAGCCTTCTATTAAATTTTCAAGCTTTCGCAACCAACAAATAAAATTTTATTGATATTTCAAGAAAAAAAACTAAAAAAAATGAAAAATGAAAATGTCCCTAAACAGTTCAAATTAAATCAAAATATTTTGAAAATGTTATCGTGTATAGAAAATGCAAATATAAACAACCAGTGAAAATTTCATGTATCTACGGTCATTTGTTTTAAAGTTACACCAAAAACCAAATTCGATTTTTTGGAAAATCAATTTTGCGTCAAAATTCCCGTTTTTCCTTAATTTTTATGTTGTTTTTCCCGGCGCTTGTGAAAACTACTGGAAAATGTTTACTTTTGACCCCCCAAAGTACCAACTAGATTCACTTTTCTATCAGAAAAGGTACTATTGAAGAAAATCGAAGCACTTTTACTGTCCCAAAACGTGATGACAGACACAAAAAAAAAATAAAAAAAAAAATAAAAAAAATAAAAAAAAAATAAAAAAACACACATCATTGTAAAATCAATACATTCATCGTTTCACTCAGAATCTAAAAACCACAGATATAAAATACTAGATAGCTAACAAGGCATCGAACATTGAAGTTATCCGCCATATGCGTGTAGGTCATGGCTTAAGATAGACAGGTTGCGCAACGAACCTATAGATTCTGAGGAGAAACGTTTCCATAGGAGAATTGCCAGTAAGAATTACAACTAGCGCTCAACCGGTCAAGTGGTCGATTTTTTAACCAAAATATTTTTTTCTTTAAACCACAACGCACAATAATTTGATAACCACAGGTTAACCACCGTATAACCATCATAACCACCTTAAAAATATTGATAAATGAAAATGATATAAAATAGAATAGTTTGCTGAGGAGTGTTTAAATACAGGAATGCACCGCTCATGGTGCGCATGCGCAATATGGATTTTGTTTGTGATATTTGTAATAAAACCTTTACAACAAAATACTCACTAGAGACATAAAAAAAATGTCCACAAGGAAGAAAATATTATTTTTGAAAAATCATATTTTTCAAAATGTAATAGCTGCATTAATCTTAGTTTTAAAAAGAAAACTCTATTGATTGATCATTTAAATTCTGAGCATGGCATGTCGATCAATAAGGAAATTTTACAATTTAATAATTTAACAGGTATTTTTTTAAGTTTTATCACTACAATAATATTTGTTTAACTCACACTTTTATTCATATTTCGAAGTACGACGTTTTGTACTTATCATTACTATACTCAGTGTGAACATTTATAAAGACGTAAAAATGTACACACTGTAGACCTTCGGTGTCATGGCCGACTGATTCTCTCTTATCGGCCCGCCGCCCAAAAGTGTCCACCCCCTGGTCAAAATACTTTTATATCTGACGATGGAATATTGAATAAGGATAATATTATGTGTTTTCATTAAAAACAATTGCAATAGAAATATATATTTTTTATATTTTTTTAATATTTTATAAAAAAACTTTATTCTAAATAATATCATGTTATCATACAGTATTGATAAGATAGTTATGTAAACATTGACCCACACACATATGGTGGCTAACTTCAACATCGATTAACCTAATTTAGACAAGTTAGCTATCTAGTATTTTATATCTGTGTAAAAAACAGTCTTTCTCTCTTCCCCATTCCGGTCCCATGACCCTCTATTTTATTAATGTAGCCATGGCCTATCGATTCTTTAAAGATGCGGCCATGGATTAAACAGAATGTTCAAAGAATATTGAAGTATCATAGAATACAATAATATATTCAATATAGAAGTATAAAGTATATAGGTATATTACTAATTTACATTATAAAGATTAAATAATTTAATTTTACAGTGATGAATGATACGTGAATGCGTGATGACTGACGATAGTAAATTACCAATTAATAATTTGTAACAGTACACTATAATAATATATACTAGGTACCCAACTGGAAATGCAATATTATCATTTTTAGTGCCGTAGTTGGAAACTGTGGCCCTATTACAAATAATAACATTAATAACAAGTTAATAAGCAAGTGGCCGCAGTGGCGTCCGCAGGGGGGGGGGGGGCTAAAGGGCTAAAGCCCCCCCATTACCCGTATTATTATTACTTTTAAAAAAAATTATAATCAAGTTAAACTGTCAACTATAGTATACTATACTAGGTAATTATAGTGCTATACACTAAGCATTAAGAAGCATCAGCAGCAAGCTTCTGTGCAATTAAAGTTAAAATAATATAGTCAAAATAAGCTATAAAATTAGTATGTACAAAAATATAGTTAAAAAATTGTTATAGATTAAGAAAAAAATTCCTTTAAGCGAATTATCAATTTTCCTGTCGCAGTTTTTATGATGTGTACCTATAGGTGGACCACTAAATTCATTGATATTGTTTATTTTACAATCATCAACTACTGTTTTTTTTCATCAATTTCAAAAGCTTCAAAATGTACATGAAAGTCTAAAATTTGGATTTGTTTAGATACTATAAAAATATTGGAATAATCATTTACAACTATTTTCTCTGAAATTTCAAACAAACACATTTCATCAATAAATGTTGTTAAACAATAACCTCTTTTATATACAGTTCCCATATATTCAACTTGGCTGTAGCACTTATACGTTGTTAATGGAATATAAATTGTGTTTAATATTGCATCAGAATGAAGTGTACAAATACAATATTTTGGATTTATTACAATTGTTGTATTGTTAGACTGCAGAATAAAATGTAGAACGAGCATACATTTTAATCTCTTTATGTTTGCCTTCAAATATCATACACCAATAACTTCTTGGTGGGCCAGAATATTGTATTATTGTAGGATAATGAATTAGAAAGTGGTGCTTTGGTTTCAAATTGTGTCCAAAAAGTGTTACATACAGAAAGTTATGTTGTTTAATCAACTGTTTTAAATTTAAAATTGAATTTTCAGTAAATGTATATGGCAAGTGCCGCAACTACCGGGGGTGCAGGGGGTGCATGCACCCCCAGTACAGAATTTAGAGGGCCCCGAAGGGGCCCTCGATAATTGAAAAATACTTAGAATTATTACGTAGAAAATTAGAAACTAATATAGATAATAAAGGGTGTCTATGAATAAAATATATATTATGTTCTGTTGAAACAAACATGTTACAAGTTAAAGCAGAATCAGTAATAATTTATTTTTAATAAACCCCCGCGACACCGCAGTACCGTTGACTATCGAATATCGATTAGGAAATATAGTCGCTTTTGAAAACTATA